ACCATACATTATCGAAATCAAATGGAGTAAATAAATCATACCGGCATCCATAATGTGTGCCCGGCTCTGGATGAGGAGGAAGTGGTGGAGCAATGGGTGGGAATCGTATCCATGCCCACATTTGAAGGAGAATATGGCAACCACCCATGTCAGTTCGACGGGCATCTGTCAATTCACACAAATTCCTGAACAAGTGTGTTAAAACCGCAGATCCCCAGCTGAATCGGCCAATGTCCTCACATCCTCCACCTAGCAACGGGACAAGCCGACAACCAAAATTGCTACCTCCAGACTTGTCCGCCAGCAACCAAGTCCCCAACATCCGGGCAATGTGGGCTTTTGTGAAGTAGATCTCGGCAGCGTGATTCCCCTCATGATCAGTCCACCGGGTATAATGTCGATCCAAGAATGAGATGCGGAGGTCGCTGGAATGATGGAACTCGCCGGCCTCTGGAACATGTCCAAAAACAGCAGCACAAGCAGCGTGCCAATCCTCGGAGGTCGATCCGGTGACGACATTGCCGTCAGTCGGTAAGCCCAATATGTCTGCCACATCTTGTAAGGTGATCGTCATCTCACCTTGGGTCATGTGAAAGGTATGTGTCTCTGGTCTCCACCTCTCGACCAGAGCACTAATTAAAAATGTATTGATTTGTGATAAATTATGCAGTTATCACGTGTTAACGAATTTTATTGAATAATTACATAAATACAAAACGACGTAAATAACATACCTGGATATGTTGCATCCTGGCAACATGTATGAATCCCGCCTGTCTTAGGTACTCTTCGACAACCGGTGGAATAGCACCGGTAGGTGGCCCCCCTTGTGGCTTCCCACGTCTGGTCTTAATTTTTCGTACATGCTCTGTATTCCACACTCACTGTGAAATATGCGCTTTTTGCGTCCTCTTTCGAAGGACCTCCCACCTGTACGGCCCAGGGATGATCCACATGCTGGGATCGGTGGGCTCTACATCCGACTCAAATCCCGATGAAGATGATGACTCAGCCATTATCCTCAACTATATAATATAAAACAACATTTAAATTAATCACATGTAACAACCCATTTTATTTACAATTTAGTTAAGCAGTGACATAATTGATTATCACAAAAATTAAGCACATGCGTCATTTATTTAACTAGAATCGAAATTTATGAAGTCCCGCCAAAACGTAGAACAGTTATTTATTTGCAATTAAATAATAATAATACATCGGACAAAAATAATATAATACTAACTGAATACTTAACCCTAGGTCACTACCAACTTGTCCAATACGTACTAATCATCACACCTAACTAACTACAAAGTTATGCACTCCCGCATTAATAACATCATACATACGAAATTTACGAAGTCCCTAACACTATTTATAAATCATTAATTAATATGTTAAACCCTAATGCATAATTAAAAATTAATAATAATAACTACGTAATAATAAAATTACTATATCATTACAACATTCATAGCATCCCACAAAATTTCTAAGTGACTATCCTAATGTTCCAAGTCTCTAATATACAATCAATCCTAACATGTATTACTAACTAGCACTGTTATTTAAATGTATACATATGAGGTATTATGACCTTACCTACGTTGGCAGAGCTTCGCTACGAACCGCGGTTAGAGAGAAGTTAGAGAGGTAAATGAGTAATGAGTGAAAAAAGGAAAGTGGGGTATATATAGGTTGCACATGAGACGCCCCCTTTGGGCGTCACATGTGACGCCCAAAGGGGGCGTCTCATTGTGCAACAGATGTGTAATTTTTTACAAAACAGCATTAAATGCGTAACTATTTAATTTAAATGCATTATTTTAATTTTTTTGCCCAACCCAAAATCTTAAAACATTACGTTTATAAGTACTTCCATTTATATGTCTTTACTTAGCTTATTACCTACTAGTGTGAGACTACATCACACTTGTATGCACTAGCCATATTACTATGCTCTCCTTCAATGAAAGCCCAAATAGCCTCTAGCCAAATACTTGGTTAGTTCAAGCCAAACTTAGCTCTAATACTAATATCACTATTATGCAACGGCTAGGGGAGCCACAAATAGGGAAAATCTCTATCCATGCATTAATGGGTTAAGCAATAATCCACACAAGTGATTCTAAAAGCATATTAATTTCAACACAAAATCTTAAGTTACATTTATGAGTCTTTTCACTATATATTTCTCATTCCTTTCTCATGCGGTACTCTATCAATCCCGCTACCCCAGCAAGGTTATTTTTTATTCAAAGCGCCCCATGTTTTGAGAGCTGTTTTATTTAGTACACCGATTGTCAATGCTACTTCTCAAATTGGTTAGTTTAATTTTAATAATTATGCATCGTTTGCAAGTTGCTCATTTATACAGAAACAAACAAAAGCAAGCTCCAAACTAATAGAATTATAGAAAGCTAAGCTCGTTGACATGTGAACGAATATACTTTGTATACCGAGTGAAGCTTGTGAATTGTTGGTGCTGGTAATTTTGGTGGCTCATGGTGGGCCTCCATATTTTGTTTCATTAAATCTTGTAATGCTAGCCCATTGTTTGTAACACCAGTTTTTTATATTATCGTTGTTATGTGTACGGGAAAAGCGTGTACCATTTTAAAGGAGGTAAAGTTATGTCATTTTAAAGGAGGAGACAGGGTAAATAAAAAAATATAACAGTGTATGTCTCACCTCTTTGTGAGAGTGAAATGACATCAGTTGTGTCATTTAAAAGAGCAAATAATTTTTCCTATATATATTAATAGAAATCTTAAATCATGTGGTTATAAGTTTAACTTGTTAAAAAGTGGTTTATGCGCACCCAATTGGTCCAGATATGCTAGTAGACTGGGCAAAATGGGTAATAATGAGAGGAGGAGGATGTGAACCTAAGTGATGACTTCAATTAACAGATGGATCGTGATTTGTGACGTTGCATGCTTTGTTTTGTGGAGTTACTGTGAGCGTAGCATCGAAGCAAACACGCCTTTATTCAGATGACCATTGGGAAAAATATTAAAATGAATTTATGGTTAGTTAAGTATCCGAACTTAATCATATAACTTACTCCGAAAGTATGTGGTCTATTCATATTGATGTCATATTCATATCGTTACGAACGCGGTGACCTCCAAACCCCTAAGACAAATATTTCCTTCTGGAAATAATCTTATACCCTCACTTTATTGACCTTTTCCACTTCTCCATTTTTTTTCATACTTTCTTATCGGTCGTGTATTCCGCCATGGACCAGAAATTGTAACCATTAGATATAATATTTTTAAATCAATTGTTGTGATTGATGTTGGTAAATGGTTAAATAGGTTCTTTGATTTATTTTCCAAAATTTGCAATCTGGTCTTTTTTTCCGTCTCTTTATTCTCTCTCAGCAAGGCTCAGATTAGTGATTTAATCCTAATTTTCTTTGGTTGTTAGAAACTACTAAAGTAACTCTTTTGACCATTTTTCCAGCTATTGTGAATCTTGCGTACATTGACATATGTCAATTATATGATTTTTTTATCGAATAACTATTCATCTATTGTATTTGGTGTAAATCGGAAAAAAAAAATCTATGGAAAAATGATGTTTCAAATTTTGATGTGAAGTAAAATTATTAGGGGATAAGATAATTAATCTTATCGCTTATGTCTTAGGCATAAGATAAGAAATCATATCTTTAAGATTTGGGTCAGGACAAATCATAAGATATCAATCAGCCCAAAACAACAAGTTTTTGAAACAAGAAATAGAAGTTCACCTGTTTCCAAAAAAAAGAAAGAAATAGAAGTTCACCTTCAGGGTTTGGGTCAGGACAAATTATTCTTCAGATTCACCTAATAACTTTAGGATAAGTGTTTGTTTGACGTTGTATTACTGCCACTCATATTTTTTTTAATAAATATTATGGAATTTACACAAATAGATACGAACTTTTTATAAATATAATATAAAATACAAAATTATAAATTTGTCTAATCTAGCAGTTCAGCCATTTAGGATGATTGACTATTTGACAATAAGAATAGGTAATTCCTTCTCGAAAATTTTTAAAGAGGTTAAAAGATTTTTGAATATTAGTGTTTAACTTTATTTAAAAAAAATTTATTAAAAAAAACAAAAGCAGGAAAGAAAAGTTGTTTAATTTGACGTGAATGTAAAATTCATCTCCAAGACTGAATCAATTGTTATGATTTTAGAATTATTTATTTTAAATGAAAATAGATCCTCTTATGGGTGAAAAAAAATATTATATGGTCATATAAAAATATCACAATCATACAAAGATCACAATCAATCATATAAGAACGAATCAACTGTTATGATTTTATAATTATTTATTTTAATATTTTTTCTCTTTTTTCTTTTATGGGTTTACTTTTTCTACAGTTACTCAGATAAGTTATCTGCAGTAGTCCAATACGACGTCGTTTTGAGGCAAAAATTATAATGTTTTATAATTTTAATTTATTTCAGAGTTATAACAGTTTTTATATTTAAATTTTTAAGATTTCAATACCAAAACAACGTCGTTTTGAAAATAAATGCAGAAATATTTTTCCCTTCTTTTATTACCATAGATCTATTTTTATATGGATATAATTTTTCATATTTTTTTTTTCTTCTTTTATTATCATATATTTATTTTTATATAATTATCATTCTCCTGACCGTGTCATAATTTTTTTTTAACGATAAATACACAATTAACACGCATGGCATGAGTCACATGACAGAGAAAACAACAAGAAAATCATATGTTAGCGTGACAGCATCGTTAGTCATACAGACAGACAAGAACAAATACATAAAAAAACGGAGTTATCCGAATCTAACACGTTGGAATGGCGCGGAATAAATGTCAACGATCCTACTCTCTCTCTCTCTCTCTCTCTAATAGTCATCCTTTTCTCTCTCTCTCTCTCTCTGTATATCTCTCCCGTTCATATATTAAACAGTCGTGACTCAAATTTCTCTAAAATTCACTATCACAGAGATACACACAACCCAACCCAATCTTTAAACCCCAAAAAAATTAGCGTCATCGAAGGAAAAATGAAACTAGTCTGGTCCCCAGAGACAGCATCAAAAGCATACATCGACACAGTACAATCTGTAAGCACTTAAAATTAATTACCTCAAACACAGTTCCATGCGTTGCGAAATTCCATGCATCAATAAATCTCTAACCTTTTTTCTTCCCTTCATTGTTATTATATATGCAGTGCAAGCTTTTCCGTGAATCAGGCGTGGCGGAGCTTGTTTCGGCCATGGCGGCAGGGTGGAACGCACAGCTCATCGTGGAGACGTGGTCACAAGGGGGAGTGATCCCAACCAGCGTGGGTTTAGCCATAGCGAGGAGGCACACGGGGGGACGGCACGTGTGCATAGTCCCTGATGAGAGGTCAAGGTTGGAATATGGAGAGAGGATGAGTGAGGCAGGGATGTCGCCGGAGATCGTGGTGGGAGAAGCGGAGGAGGTGATGGATGGTTTGGAGGGGATAGACTTCATGGTGGTGGATTCAAGGAGAAAGGAATTCTACAGAGTGATGAGGGTGGCCAAGCTGAGTAGCAAGGGTGCGGTGTTGCTCTGCAAGAACGCTAACTCGAGGAATGCTCCTTTGGGTTTTAAATGGCGGAGCTTGGTGGATGAAGAAGGATCACGTCGTATTGTTCGTTCGGTGTTTCTTCCGGTAGGGAAGGGAGTTGACATAGCACACGTCTCCGCCGTAGGGGGTAATTCGGTTTCAACAACACTCAAGGGTGGTCATGGTCGTGGTAAGAGATGGATTAATTATGTTGATCAACAATCAGGGGAGGTGCACGTTATTAGACGATAACTTCATGTTTACCTAGATGGGGACTAAAAGGAGTAATTATCGAAATGTAACAGGCTTTACTTGCCCCCATTTTTTCTCTTTCTGTATATAGTTTCTGAAAAATACTTTGTTACCATGAATGTTGTACATCGCAAACCATTCCATTTGTTTTTTCGGGGGGAGAGTTATGTTTATGAACTCTTTAGTTTACAAATTATACTATGGGAATGTATTCTTCGGAGTACATTAACCTATCCCTTCTTCTTTTTTTTTTTGTTACTAAAAAAACACTTTTGTTTCTCTTCGTCCTCCATATTTGCAATCTATCCACCTCTCAGGCTCTGATGGCTTGATTTCTTTAACATGTGCTTTTTTTTTTTGCCTGAGTGATAAGGAAGCTGGCTTTTGCCAGGTGGGATTTCAGTAAGGAGAGAGGGGACAATGGAGGGGGTAATAGTAATAGCACATGAGCTATCAGTTCATGGCCCTAGACCACGGAAACGCACTTTAGTTACAACATTCTGAATCATTGTAATACCAAAATGAGATTTGGTTCAAAGTAATAAGAAAATGACATGACATCTGCTATTTATATGTTAAGAAAGCACCGAATATTTTTAACTAATTGGGTGTAATACAAATGGTACTATTCTTCTAATCACTTGGATAAAATTTAAGATCCTTGTTATCAAAAAAAAAAAAAAAAAAATTTAAGATCCTTTGCCCAAGCAGCTGCATCATGTATCAACATATTTTTTAAGATGAAGCATGTTCCACAGGGGTTGTTGACCTTCAATGTCTATGTATACCTATTTCTCAGGGCACGTGCAAAAGGCCTAAATTGCCAAGTCACAAGAAAGGGCTTAAACTGAAAAAGGAAACATTACAGATTCAACCAATTTATGGTATTTCTTTTTGAAAAGATCGAATTGGTTTAAATCCTAGCTACATTACAGTTTTGGCTAACTACCAATAGCCACATTTGAGATCCTTCCAACAGGCTGGCAGACTGTTGGGCTATGCAGCTCGAATTCTTGGTCATATTCAACCATTCATCTAATGTGTGTACGTATCCAATTATGGTAGTATCAGAGGACAGTGCTTCTGTGCCCTGCAGCCTAAAGATTCAGAAAACACATCAGTTGAGAATAGACATAATGAAATCGACAATAGCATGATGGATAAATGAATCTCCAGTAGCCAATAACGGTTAACTTACTAAAATGATAAAAAATTTCGAGATTCTGGAAAATAATGTGTTAATCCCAACTATTTTTACTTCTTCTGAAGGCTTTCTTATCCGAAAGCACCTTCTTGCTTTTAAGGCGCTTCTGCTCTCCTATAGCAGCCCTACAAAAGTGCACATTTAATTAGCAGTTGTCAGTAACTTGCCCTTAAGCATCAAGTAGTTCTGATGTAACTTGCCCTTAAGCATCAAGTAGTTCTGATGTAACAGAAGCCACAAGCAAAATGGTACCCAAAGTAAGAAACTGTATTTAACCTGAAGAAATAAAAAATTATAAAAAATAAATATTCTTACATCTTTGCAATTTTCTTCTTTTGCTCTTCTGAGGGAGGTGGTGGGACATAAGATGCTGCATCAATGATTTCCTATTTTTTCGCATTAAATAAACAGAAAAACACCATTGCTAAGAGGAAGTCGTTTTTCAGGAACAAGAAAAGAAGTGAACAAACCGAAGTTTATGTTCTTGAAAAGGGGGGAGGGGGAAGAAAGGTTTAGATAACTGAAGTCTAACATCCAAGAAGACGTATCATATCCCAGATGATCCCAACCAGGATGGATGCCGTATAATAATATTTTTTTAAATGAATTATCAGAATGCTAAGAAGATTTCTCATATAATATATTTCACATACACCAGAATAAAGCTGAGACAATAGTCACCACACCATGCCCCTATTTCTCTTCTTATTAATCATTAGCTGGATCCAAACACGTACACCATGGATTTCATTATAACGAGGAAATGGGAATCAACCAACTCAACAATAAAGGAAAAGGCAACCAATGAATAGCAAAGAGAACAATAAGAACCCAAGAAATATTCCATTTCCCATAGAAGATGTTATACAAACTTCAAGAGAATCCCAAAAATAGTCAGCACCAAAAATCCTACAATTTGGCTTGCCATGTCCGAATACACCACAAGAATGCAGAAAATAAGGAATGAGTGACGTCTATCACCAAGTCACTGTCCTAAGCTGCATTCTCTCACAAGTTTTTTCACTATCAAGACAAGGGATTATTACAAACACCACATTTTCCACAAATTAACTCCTCCAAACCCCACCACCAGAGAAGAATAAGAAGTAACAGACTCCAGAGCTACCAGAAAGGAAAAGCTGGTCATATATAGCAGACATTACTTCGCAGAAACTGTCTTTTAAACAGGATAATTCCATTTGAAGGTGCCAATATATATATATATATATATATATATATATATATATTTAAAAAAATATGTTTCTGGTAGGAGGAGAAGAGATATAGGAAACATAATCATTTCCAGATGTACCAAGCAATGATAACTGTCAAGGACCAAAGGAAAAAAAACACTACTGGAGAATTTAGGAATCGTTTGGTTTAGCTTTTTTATTTTGTAAGATTTTGTTAGAATTGATGTTAAAAAAATTAATGTGTTTGGGAATAATATTGAAAAGTGAGTTTGGAAGAATTAATTTTGTTTGGATGGTAAAGTAGGAATCACTTTTGAAATGTGAATAAAAGTATGTTTTTAAAAATTTTATGGATCCTACACCTACAATCAATTCTGCTCACTGTGAAAGCTAAATATTTACACCTATCTTAAAATCAGTTCTACTCATCGTAAAATTGATTTTGAAAACCCAAAAAATTAGCTAAACCACAAACATGAAATGATAAAAGATCTTTGAAATGATAAAAGATAGGCTCTTAAAGATTTATGGAGAAATGATCTTTGACAATCACACCCAATGCTAAAGCATTCTTTTAAAAATTTTGATAAAAGAAATTTTATATACTAGATTTTCCTATATTACCTGAAGCTTTGCCAAAGCATCCTCAATGTTACCCCTGAGAAAAAGAAAAATGGTATGGTAAGGCAAACCAATCTTGCAGCACACAAGGAAAACAGACAACAAATAGGACAAAAGGGAAGAAACAAACTTCTGCGTTCTAGTTTTAGTTGAAGAAATCACAAGCTCCCCATCTTTGTTAATACGGTTTTTCTCCTGCTCAGGACCAACATAATTAAAGACTACTAAAAGATAATGTAGATGTTCAAACAAACCAAGAGTAGAATCACAATTGGTGAGATAAAAAGATTGAACAGTTAGGATATAAAATATGCAATTTATGCACAATTAGATGTAAAATAACAATATCATTTGCTTCAAAGAAACAATGACAGCCACACAAGGTTAAGGCTTATATAATCAAACAGTTAATCCCTTGATGTTGCACCAAAGCAATGATGAGAAAATATTAGTTGTGACAAACCATTTGCAAAATCTTCTCCCTGACCCCATCACTTAGCCAATATGCATTTCTAACGTTGAAGCGCATGTCCACCTTGGTGTTCACTGTCCAATAAGCATTTATTACAATACAAACAGTACTAATCAGCTCCAGCATCTCATAAAAAGAATAACAAACCGATTATCACCATAACAAGTCATAACAAGTCACTGGATATACCGAACATAAATAAATAAAAAAACAACCTTTATTAACATTCTGTCCCCCAGGTCCTCCACTTCTGGCAAAGCTCACCGTAACATGATCTAAAATTAAAAATAAAAATAAAAAGTCATTAGGTTTTTTTTTTTTTTTTTTTGCCCCCATTTTTTGAGAAATGAGAAAATTGATGAAGAAAAAATGCACCCAAGGTGATTTTAGGAACAGGGCCCTTGTCAGCGGAGAGAGCTCGGAGTTCAGCTTCTTGGAGGAGGTGCTGCACCTGTGATAGCCGAGACGATACTTTGTTGCCACCATCTGAGTCTGACGAAGCGCATCGAATTGCAGTGAAGACAGTGACGGGACGCGAACGCCGTAATTGAAGAGCCCCGTTCACGTAAGATGAGGAGGAGGGGAAAGGACGAGAAAGCCCACCAATACGAAGCGAAGAAAAGGCGAGTGTGGAAGAGTGATGGAACATCTCCTTCACCACCATTCTAGTGGTCATTGCCATACATGAACTATGAACAGTTATGAACCATAACCTGAACCCTTCCTCCTTTTGCTTTTTGGCCTTTTGTTTTCTCATTTCATCCTCTGATTTTTTATTTTTTTATTTTTTAACCTGGTTCTGGTTGATCGAGTTAGTTTTTTGAGTTTGTGATATTTAATTTGATTAAAATATATTATGTTTGTTATTTTCAAAAATATATTATGTTTGTAATTTTGTTTTATGATTTTAATTGTATGTATAATGTTATTTTAAAATTATTATGTTATAAATAATATAATTATATGGATATCCATAACCCCATAAATATTATTTCAAATTGTAACTTTTTAGAATTATTAATTCTTTTTTGTTATAATTTACAATGTATGGAGAATTTATAAAAATGTACAACATACAAGCTGATACAATGAGAAGTTATCCTGCCTTCTCCTTGTCCTAATTCTCTCCTTTTCTTTTACGGTAGAAGAGAAATTTATTTTTATCTGAAAATCTCAATTTTCAGAAATATGATAAAAACTTTCAGTTTACGATAATATCCAAAAATTAAAAATTTAGAAAAATTCAATTTCTCGAGAATCCTGAAAAATATCGACTACCAAACGCCTTAGTGTATTCTAGTTATCCCTTAGTTTTAAAACAATTTTGGAAAAACTTCAAAAATTTCTATAAATTTTCTCAGAATCACTTATTTCTTTTTTTAAATTATTATTTACCCCCTACTTAAAGTTGCTTTATCATTTACCCCAGACATTATTTTCCATCCAAAATTACAGTTAACATTGTTAAATTTTTTATAAAATACCAAAACTAACCTTTAAAACAAAAGCGTTAGTTGATCTTCTTGATTTTCAGACTTGTTTCCACCACATGAATAAAACCATTTGAGATTTGCTCAGTTCATCCAACTTGATTTTCAGATAAAAATTCATTACAATTTTCGGAGAGAGAGAAGCCACTTTTGGTTTGGTGTCCTTTCAATGGCATATGTTCCTTTTGAATGCACAATAGTCAACAACACATAAAAGACTGACAAAGTGAAGAAGATCAACTAACGCTTTTTTTAAAGGCTTGTTTTGGTATTTTATAAAAAGATTAACAGTGTTACTTATAATTTTAGATGAAAAATCAAGTCAGGGGGAGGAATGATAAAATAACTTTAAAAGGATAAATGATAAAAATTTTGAGGAGGGAATAAGTGATCATGAAAAAATTTATAAGAGTTTTTTCGAAGTTTTCCCAACAATTTAAGCAGATTTCACATTATCTCCGATAGAAAATAATTTTAGAAAAAAAGTGACGTGAGCTAAATTATGAATCCAGTAAATTTTTTAAGTATCAAAATGTCAGTTTACTTTCAAGTTTCATTGTTTTTTTTTTTTTTTTGGTAATCTCAACTTTCATTGATTTTATTATTAAGTTTATATGAGAAGGACTATCCAATGGAAAATTCACTTGATTAATAGGAAATATTGCTTAATGATAATATCACATGAATTTATAAAAGAAAACCCAAACACTTTAAAAAAAATGATTTTTTTTTTTTTTTGTATAGTTAAAGAAAGGATTTTACCATGAAACACAATGGATGCTCAAAGTTCTAGCCATTGGATTTTTATTTTTATTTTGAGAGAACAATTTTCTTTTATTTTAGAGTTTGTGAATTTTATTTTTTATTTTTTTGGTAAATGAGTTTGTAAACATTTAACTAGGAAACCTCAAGCATTCACCACTGAATAAAAGACACATTAGTGATTGACTCTCTTTCTCTAGAACTGTCCTGCAGTCAAGTTCCATGATTTAAGTAGACACAATGTATAAATTAACGGATTTCTCCGATCAATGGAGATAAATTATTTTCAGCGAGTCTAAAATGATATCATTTAGGGATAAAATTAAAATATTTTTGTAATTACAATATATTACAGCGTTATATTAATTTTTATCATTATAATTTTTTAATTTTTTAATCTCAAAACGACGTTGTTTCGAGTTTACTAGAGATAACTTTATTTCCGGTCATCGAAGAAATATTTTTCCATAAATTAATTAATAAAATTAAACTAAAATATTTTTTAACAATTTATCTATGGTTCACAACTCTAAAATTCTTATAATTATAAATTTTTATCTAAGTTAATTTATATGAAATATTAATTTAAATGAAATATTATTTACTTTAAATAAAAATTATTTTTAATTATTTTAGTATAAATCAATTAAATAATTTTATTTAAAATTAATATTTTGAAATTATGAAATACATGTTACATAAATAATTATATAAAAAAAACATCTAAATCATCCCAGATAAGCTGAAATACCAAAATATACTCAATAGAACCAACACAAACTAACATGCTACAGCCCAATCTAAATGGGCGGAGTCACCCTTACCTGGCACCGTGTATCTTTCTTTGCCATAGAGGTATGTTATGTTTAGCTGAACACAAATCATTGCGTCTCAAATAATGGTTATCAGGAGCCAAAACGAAAAATGAGTGACACACTATAAAGTGACAACATTTAAATTTATGTAGGTTCACTTTAACTTAAATTAGAGATTTTTGTAATATAATTTGCAAAATAATTAACCTAGAAATCGTGCAAGTAAGCGTCACTCGCAGGTTTCCAACCTGATTAAGGACACCCCTCTAGTTGCCCTTTCAAGGAAATCAACACCAGCTCGTAATAGCTTTCTTGTGCAAGCGCATTTTTTATCAGCGAATCCTTCATCTAGATAGAGTGCAGCATATAAGTTGCACAGAACAAGACAAACACCTCATGCTCACAAGAAAACAACTAAAAACATCAAATACAAACTACTAATTTTATTATAAAATCAGGTCATAATATGAAATTGTGCACGTCACAGATCCTAGCATCACCATAACGACTTCAACGAACAAATCCTTCCACCAATACTAAAATCATCGTATATACGTATAGAGTAAGGACAGAAAAAACACATTAACGGGTAATAACACTAACGAGTATGACGCAGTCGCTGGGGAAACGGGACTAGAGTACTCGACAACAACAATGGTGCCTTATTTTCTGCCCCTTCCTCCTGGATGGTATGCTTTCCTATCCCTTGAATCTGTCCTTTCCCTCTCCTGTGTGCGAGAAGAACCTACTTTATCTCTAAATTCAGATGTTGTTCTCACAGGAAGAGTATCCTCCGAAGAAGGGAGTGCCCAACCTCCCTGCCTGGCCTGCTCAGTTTGTCCACCACGACTAGCTCCTAAAACATCAAACACAAATTTAAGATGACAAGCAAATGACATAATGCTGCTTTTGAAGAAAAAAATTCACTCAACAGCCATAATATTTAGCAAAAAAATAGAGATCACGTGAGTGATTATTACTATTTAGTGCAATGTCATAATACTATATGACTTAATGTGCCATCCAATGAATTTTAACTTTGGCTTTGCCTTCTTTTTCTAGTTTCCTTCATGTAAAAACATGAATAACAACGAAAGACTAAATTCGAAAATAAAATAGATCTATATGAACAAAAAGGAGCCTACCCACAACATATATTTTATTGTTCACTAACTATACTTGGGAATTGACATACAATAAACGTACTAATAACAGGCCACTGCTTCCATCAAAAAAAGAAAAAAAGAAAAAAAGAAAAGAAAAAGAGAGGCACATTGAAGCCATCCTCTTCACACCATTGACTGCATTGTGCATCTCTGCCACTGTCATCCATACTTTGTACTAATAGAGAGCACAAGCTAGAAATACCATCAAACTCATGAACTTTTTTAGTTTTCTATGGAATGCTATAAAAAGTTCACAAAAAAATATTTCCAATAACATGATAACAAATTCACAACCATGTACTTCGGAATGCACCTATGTGAAAGCAAATATACACGCTAGAAGTGGGGGCACACTATTGTGTTTGAGTTAAAAAAAAATTATTCAAAAAACATGTGAAATAATGCGATAGTTGAAAGAAAAATAAAAATGAATATAAAAGGAAGAAATAGAGTGGAAAAAGGATGTAGGGTGTACACTAAAACACACAAACTGCATAAGCTGATCTTGTAATATGGGTTTTCTTTTTTTAGCAAAAAAAAAATTGTAGGCTGCAAAATAGCAAAAACGCATGTCATTTCGTTTGTACTGATTTTCGTGAACAATGGTTGTGATAAATAGCATTGCTCTATAAAATTATTCTATTTCCTTGCATTTTAATTATTCAAGTAAATTAACATTTATAATCCAACAAATTTATTACAATATTTAGCAAATATGGCAATAAAAAAAAACTATTGCAAAGTTTTGGGACAAAAATGTTGACATAAAACTCTGGATGTTCTCTAATAAATTGTAAAGATATAGATATTAATCATCCTCATACTCAAGAAGCAGAAAGGATACTCGGTTACTCACCAATACTCCCGGTCCATCCAGGCAAATACTTTTGACCCTTTCCTTTCCATTCTTCTTCAAAACCAGCAAGTTCATCTATGAAATCACAACCCAAACCTTTAGTGGTGCTGACATACGACGGTATAGAAATGTAGATATCATATCACATCACAAAAAAGTGAATATCAGATCCATAACATACCTTCATTTATATTGTGCAAAGTCTGCATAGTATCCACCTTACCATCTGAACTAAGTTTTCTTGAGAGAGAATGTCCCTATAAAATATCATATGTAAGTAAAATAAAATAAAACTAGTAAGGAACAAAGTTAAAACCACTAAAAAAATAGACAGTGAAAGTTATCCCAAACCACATCAACTTAATACAATATTGCTACCAAAGAGAATGGTATGAATACCTTATCATGAATGCCTCTAGAAATATTGTGAGAAGCTTTCCCTGTGGAACTATCAGCCTCCTTGTTCTCTTCAAAGGTCACCTAACACAACGAAGATGTCATCAGAAAATAACATTCTGCAAATCTGGGATTCAGTCTAGCATTTAATCAACATTCTAAATGCTTACTCCATCACTCCCAGTCCTCCTTGTCCTCGATGAAGTGTAATATGTTCCATTTGTACCACCATAGCTGACTGTTGAGCTATGGACGCAGAAGCTGCGAGCTTGAGGCTGAGGCCCAGTTGCACCAAATCTGTTATACTCATTTCTACCTTGCAATTGTTTGCTCTTCTTTCCTGCAATATGAACCCAAAAAAAAAGAGAAGAAAAAAAAATAAGCCTAAACAAAACCAAGCTACCACTTTTGAGAGAGAAAAAACAAAAGCACCTACTGCTTAACGCAAAACACACATTACCTTCAAGTTCATCATCTGGATGTTCAACGAGTGGTTCATTGTTTGACCTCCTATGCTTTCTTGGATTTCCTTTCTTCTCCTCTGTTGTGTCCTCATTTTCATCATCAGAGTTCAATTCCTGAATGATTGGCCCCCTTTGCCTACTAGGCTCTGGAGCTTGATGCTCAAGAAACCCAGATGGATGCATATCTGGGGGGAAAGGAAATCCAGTAGGACCACCAAAGGGACTAGACGGAAACATCCCTCCAAAAGGACGGGTAAAGAAAGGGTCGTCGAATGGATCCCTTCCCCCAAAAACACTTGAAAATAAACTCCTGGGAGGTCCATTTGAACCAAAGCCTCCAAAACCACCAAAAGAGTCACCAAAATCGAAGAAAGGATCCCTGCCACCTCCGCGTCCTTGCATTCTGTCTCTCTAAGTGCAGTATTCACTAGAGGTACAGGATTATGCAGGATAATTAAACCACAACTACAAGTAATGTATAAACCATACAAATAGTAATGAAGGATTCAACAGAAATTAAAATTTTTTTTTTAATGAACGAAGGTGGTACTAAGGAATACCTTACACCATTAATACTGGGCAAGTATGTTAGATTTTTTACAATAATTATTGTGGGATGCAGTCAATTATATTATTTTTTCTTGTTTTAATAAAAACGGGCTAAGTCATGATCCATTTGGGGTGCAATATATAGGTCCGCCTAATTAAGTGATCCATTTGTTTGAGCTTGGATATCTATATTATTGTTTAGTGTGGGTAACAGTTTATGCCTAACTCTTAGGCCCTATGATGGGAAGGGGACCGGGGTTAACAAGTTTAACTAGGTCACCTCTACATTCATGGTATGTTGAGAAGCAATAGCTCCACAACTTGTCCCATCAATAGTTGTGAAAAGGGAGTGGTGTAAACTGCAGAGGAGATCTGATCCTTCAAACTTCGTAGGAATACCGAAGCAAACACGGCAGCCTTTGAGATATCAAGCATCATGTAAGGAAGTCTAAATCTTTTGGTGTTCTAGTTTCATGTAATCCTATTTTAGTTTTTCTTGCACAGTATCCTCCTTATAATCTTCCTAATTAATTAAAAAAAAAAAATATTAAATGCTTTTAAAGTTCGGTAGACAAATGCTTTTACATTTCCATTTAATCCTTACTGCATTAGGATGATGTAACAGAATACAAAATTAGTCATTTTTAAAGAGAAAAAACTAGTAGCATCATCATAATTCCTAGAAAGGCATCAACAAAGCAAACGCCAAACATCGAATAGAGAATCAATCAACAAAACAGCAAAGTACCGAGTTGAGGTAAAATTGAAGATCGGCGAAATGAAACATACGATACCTAATGCCTACGTACTGAAAAACCACCAAGAAAAGAAAAAAAAAAAAAAGGAAACGAGATCAACATAATCAAAATTCAAAGCCCTTGGTAACCAAAAATAAAAAATAAAATTCAAAGCCCTAAAATGAAAAGAGTTGAGAGAGAGGAGTACAATACCTGAGAGGCGCAATAAAACGGAGACGATCCTTGAAGCCTGATCAATTATTCGGAACCAACAAATACAGTTAGCTATTTGTTCAGATTCCTTCGACTATTCGTAAATCCTTGTCAGGGAATGGAACTCCTCTATCATAAACAAGACATCAAGAGTCGTGAGTCGTGAGTCATGAGAACGAGATATTTATCACCCACCGCCACCATGCCCAATGTAACCCAAATATCCGATGGGCTTTGTTTCTCAAATTCAAAATCACTAAATCGGCCCAACCATACAACCCCCTCGAGTATATTACTAGTTAGTGTTTGGTTGAATGATTATTTTGGGATTGATGGAAAAGTGTAAGTGAATATTGAAGAATACCATGTTTGGTTCAGGTTTTTTTTTAAAAATACTAGGCAAATGGGATAGATGGGGAAATGATTTTTGTGTTGATTTTTGGATGAAATTCACTATTACAGAATACCACTTTAGATGTGGTATTTTGAGATAACTGGGGAAGTGAAAAACAGGTGCGAAGTTTCTCCCGAACATATATTTTGCAAATTTAAATAAATTTCCCTAGTAATATTTCGGTCAACCAAACAACTTTTTTTACATTTTGCTACCAAACTCATTTTCCAACCATTTTTCTAGTAATTACATTTCTCTAGTATTCAAAAAATTTCTCTTCAACCAAATACCCCCTTAAGGTAACTACAATTTTTTTTTTTTACAAATGTTTAATAATCTAAATAAATAAAGAGAAAAATATTTGTCCTCTTAAATGACATAGAAAATTAGAAATTATGTTATTTTAGTTAAAATTAATGTGTTTTATTTAATATTCATATTAAAAAATTATCAATAACCTTTCACTATTTCCCACCAAAAATTTTATTGTGTAATTATTTCTCTTACTGTAAAATATAATAATTTTGAGAAAAATAATATAATTCTATGTCCTTTAAAAGGATAGATATTTTTCTCATAAATATATATCATAAAACTATCAATCAATTAAATTAATATCTTTTATTAAAATAATGAGAAAAATATTTATCTTTTTAAAAAATATAACATTATGTTCTTTTAAATGAAAATATAGTATTTTATTATAGTATCTTTTTTTTATCAGAATTGGTTCTTTATTTTTTTTTAAATTAGCTAAATGTTATAGTGAAATATTGAATTTCACTTAAAAGAATATAATATTATTTTCTTTAAAAAACAAACACTTTTACCTAGAAGAAAACATACTACAATTGAATACACAAATAAATATTAAATTTAGGAAAAAATATTTGTAATTTTAATGATACTTTAAGTGAAACGACCTTATATTTGTTGGTCTAGAAAATGTAAAAGGCCAACAAATATATACCAAAATACAATTGTTTTATTTAAAATGATACAAAATTGAGTTATTTACACTGACATAGTGATTGGTGATTTCACTTATTGTTTTCTTAGGGCTAAATTTACCGTGTAATTTTTTATTTTATTTTTTTCAAATCTTCCCCTCACCAAGTGTATGAAACATTCTTATGGCTTTTAACAGTTATCGGAAAATACACTAAAAAGTAAAGACCTCACTAATGTAGACTGAATACATCCTTATAGTCCATATGATTTGGGAAGGAAAAGCAACCATTTTATATACATGATAACTCAAAACCAGTGTTGTTAAAACCGGATTGGCCCGGCCGGTCAATGGACCGGACATGCAATCGACCTGGTATCAACTCGACGAATCGGTCAAGAACCGCGGTTCAACCGGTGACCTGGCAAATCGATTTTGAAAAAAATATTTCCATTGTTGGAACTGCTGGAATTTGAACTCGAGTCTCATAAAAATGCCCAACAACAACTTACCACTAGGCTGAGTTTGTTTGTTGGTTAATATGCATCACTTAATAGAATTATTTCAAAATAGCATTTAGGGAAATCATACCCTTATTATGAAGATATAAATTATAGTCTTTACCACTAAACTACATTTGGTTCTTGGTTCACTTGCATTATTTAAAATATTTTTTATATAATTGAGTATAAAATATAAATTTATATATATATATATATATATATATATCCGGTTCATGCGGTTGAACCAGTGACCCACTGGTTGAACCAGTGATCCACTAACCCGATACTCCGACCGAGTCGATCACCCGTCCGAGTTTAATAACATCCCTCAAAACTGATGTATTCTAATTTTCAAATGTATGTAATCAGAAAGTCATGGGTTCGATCTCAGAAATAATCTCTTTTGTAAAAATATCATGTACAATTGACTTACTCACAATTCGAAAAGTTTTGTACATCAAGATTTGCCTAATATACGCTAAATAAATTTCATACCCATAGTAGAAGCCAGAAGACAGGTATCCACAACAAAATGATTAAATGATCATCACCGCCAGTTCATTGTAATGACTGTCCATCCAGTTAGCCGATTTACGAGTGAAATATAAAAAGAGATAAAGACAAAATTTTCCTATAAAGAAGTTATGAAGAAATTTTAACATTAAAAAATTCATTCCCAAATTTTGAGATGACAAGGTTGTTGAAATTTTAACGGGAGAGAATCTATTTCCATCCAACAACTATATGTCTTTATCTCATTTTCATGCTCGCTTATAGTCAGCATACTACTTGCTCAAAAACTTTAGCATGAAAATGCCTACTGGATGTTCGGCCATCGCAAATAATATATTGCTGTTATAACTGCTGGAGCGCTTCTACATCTGGCTCTATTGGAAACTCAAGACCCTGTAATGCTGGAATTCGCCTTAAATCCTCTTCTGAATATGCAGGAATGAACCAGTACCTTTTATCGGTGCCAAATACCTGAGAAAGATATATCCATCATCATGACAAAAGATGCCTTTAAACTTAGTTTCTGAATAATGCATCAAACTGACTAATAATTTATTATAAACGGCTTAATGCACCTAGTAGCTGTAGATTATATATCTAATATTGGCATATCATCCATCACCTCCTACACAAATTCTTTTATTGTTTAAGTTAAACCAATCTACCATTTTCTTTTTTTTGGGATACAAACCAACAATTTATAATAAATCATTGTCCTGAATAAGCATTAACTGTTTTTTTTTTTCTTATACAATGGTGATACTCACATTTCAACCTATAACCTCATCTAAACTACCTAAGCCCCTCACCACAAGACCACCTATTTTAACTGTTTTATTAGATACATAGGATGCTATGCATAGAATAAAAGAACTATTAAATCTATAGAACTCAAATTTAGGCTTTTTTTTTCTGTAAAAAAAAGAGAGGGAAGAATAATCTTTAGCACACTCAAGGGAAATAGGGAGAGAAAAAGATGGGCATTGTAATAAAAAAAAACACAGCCTAAGAGGGCTGGTCTTTGCTTAAAACCAGGGAATGTAGAATACTAATGTCATTAAGGGGTTAAGAAAATTATAATCCCCTTACAGCCATCAAAAGCCCTTTTATAGATAAAATTAAAATAAGGATGTTACAATAGCATAAACAATATCAATACTAATATAGGTCAACGCAGAAAACTACATGGTTCAAAACTCGGCAACTTGACCCCATAATATTACCAAACCATACAATGTAAATTTAACCCCTCGTGCATGAGGAAAATTCCCCTCAATATACATGGTTTGGTAAGTTCAAAGAGTTGAGTTGCTGAGTTTTGAACCTCAAAAGGTTTTCTATGATTAACCTATCGTTGAAGGGGTTCCTTGCATTTCAGCCCGAATATAATTATAACGACCACTTCATCCTGCATCAAATTAGAGTACTGGTATGGAAGGAACAAACTATGGAAGGATGCACTATCATTTTTGGCACAATCAATTTCTATTTCTACCAAAAAAGCTAAAGATGTATAGCACATCAGCTACCAACACAGTACATAGCAACAAAAATTCAAAAAATTTATTACCTGCGGTACTTAGGCTAATTTAAAATGAAAACAGCCCATTTTAGGTGAAAATTCGTATTCCAATCATGCTTCCACTATCGTAATATGGACAATGGTATGATTAATGTATTAAGGTTTGAAGCTCATTGTGACATAACATTAGGCTCTAAGAGCAAGGGGATCAACACGATGAATTTTAGTGTTCCAAGACTATCTGGTACATTTCTGTAATCACATTTTTGCTTCAGATTAGTTGCGAAGCAATAAACCGATTGGAATATTTCCAAAAAAAAAGTTTGCTTATTATCCTAAATTGAAGATAAAAATAATAAATTCAAGTAGTAGCATAATGTTAATGAAAGGCTGTCATGGAAACACATTATACGAGGGAAAATAGATGTCACCTGTTCATAATTTTTCCTCCAACCTAGGTCATAATGCCATTTGGGAGTGGCTTTTCTCTCATATGCCTGATAAATTCCATATTTAAAAGTTCAGAATTATACTAGATATTGAAGGCACAGCCAACTGAATGGGGAAAAAACTCAAACTTAAAGAAACAAAGTCACCTCAATGGTGGTAGTATTAGATGTCACAAATGAAATGTGCATAATCATAAAGCCCAAAATACTCAATACAAAAGCCAAGTTCAAAACTGCATGCATAGAACAATAAAGGTTATGAATAAGTTAAGAATATAAACAATAAATTAATTAGAAACAACATTTCAAGAACTCACCAAATGCAATAAAAGACACTGCAAGGTTTGTTGATGGTCCGGAAATCTCTTCATCGGTAAAGAATGCCATAAAATATGGCAATAATGATAAAGTGACAAGAGTTGTCTCAAGAAATGTGTAAAACTGCAGAAAAAGTACATAGTAAAGGTGTTTACTTAATATCTCTTCCAGTACTATAGTCATTTCTCTTCATATATTCCGCAGTGATTATACCAGAAGGAAATATGGTGATTAGATGAGACAGGACAAGCAGACTAACCAAGTAATAAATAACAAGTTATTGAAAATGTTATTAAGGCACTTTTCTCGAGTAACAACCCCCACCTTCAGCCTCCAATACTAAAGAGACAAGAAGAAAGAAGCATATCAAAACAGTGGCATTTTTTATTGAATATTGAATTGAGTATTGACTTTGTACTAAATCAAAAAGTATTAACTTAATCATGTACTTGTTGGCAAAAAGTTACCTATTAATTGATTTTCTTAGAGATATATAAAAATTATTAATGTAGCCTCACCCAATAGCTTAAGTTTTTGGGTTGATTTGGTTCTTTACATGGTATCAGATTCTCATGTCCCGGATTCAATCCTCACCCCCCCCCCCCACTTTCTCTTGTGGAATTTTTTAGCACAGGTAAGCTGGGCCTGATGCATTATCCACCCTTTATGCCCAATAGACTTTCGTGTGAGGGGCGTGTCAGAGATATATATAACCCATTAATGTAGCATCACCCAATAGCTTAAGCTTTTAAGTTGATTTGTTTCTTTACAGATTTAATTCATCTTTCTTTTTTTACTTTGGTGCCAAGAAGAGGAAGAATTAAACCACCCAAGATAGGAAGCTCTCCCTTAATTTTAAGGAAGTGATAGAAGAAAGGTTTGGTGATTCTGAGATCATACACATGTTATGCAGTGAGGCGCCACATCCCATATGGGAGATATTCTTAAGGTCATGTTTGATGAATCAGTCCTTGTTTTTCTGTCATCTTTGACAATCTTAATTTTTGCTACTTTGACTTCTTAAATCATAAGGGTTCATCTCATAAATATAACATTTTTTTTATGGCCAACTCACTACACCTGACGCCAACCCTCCTCCTTTACCCTAGCTATCTTGGAAAATCCATATTAAAATTCTTTGATTTCTTTGTCAAAGTCCTTTCAAATGTGATGTGAGGATACTATGGCTTTGGATGCGGTCATGACAGCATTACTTTCATTTCTTTTGGGCTGGTTCTATCCCTCATTATTTGAGTTTCTTAGAAAGTTTACAAGATTCCTTGTCTGCAACTCAGCTTCATTTATTATTTAAAACTGAATCCTTCATACTTGATCTTTTATTTACTTTTCTTTAAAGTAATGAAGGATATTGAAAATATAAACCCCCAATACTATAAAACAAGTAGATGAAGAAAATAATGAGCTAAGGAAGCTAGACAGCACCAAATCATACACATATCACAGTAAATGTATCAATCAAAAGGCGAGTTGGCTTTCCAAGATACGGTTTACATACCAAGAAAAGAAGAAAATACTTGTAGTTCAAAGCACCAACACAATTTACAACCCAAATGCAATGATGGTCCATTTTGAGAACGCACCTCCCACCTAAAAACCAATGCCACTGTTAGTTAACGTTCCACACCACCCATAACCAAACACATAAACGTTTCAGTCACAGAAAAAGAACTCACAAACAGAACAGTGATGGGAACGAGGAGGTTTAAAGTGGTTACACTTTCGACAGTACCGTATTCTCCGATATTCCGGTTCATTCAAACCATTTGAAGCTAAACCTGAGGACTCCACCAGTGGATCCGCATCACCGCTCTCGTCATCAATTGTAGGCATCCAATTTGAAGGCACACGCCCAGGATCCGTAAAAACAACAGAAAAGTAGCACCATAATAGCATCACCAGCTACATAGGCAATTAACTAACTGAAATTATATGTCATGGTTTTTAGTTAATTCAATACCGATTCCAACATTAAACAACCTAATAGTTGTGTGTGTGTGTATTTATGTTCGTACGAACCAGAGCATGGAAAAGGAGGAGGACGGAAAGAGCGGTTAAGGAACGAATGCCACCGTGGAAGAGACCGGGTCCGTAATTAGCGAGTACGAGGACGTGATAGGTGAATCCGACAAGGCTAAGGACGATGACCATCATGACGGAACCGAGGATGCGCAGCCTCGTACATAACCTGAAAACGTTCAACGCCATCATCACGGTTCCTCTGGATCTGTCCATTCTACGAGTCCACAATCCCAAACATCAAAAATCAATTCAATTTTTCATGTGTTTATCTGGGAGTTCCGTTCCCCACACATGTTCTGTGCTACCTGGTGTGAAGATAGATAAATAATAATCATAATAAAAAAAGAAAAATATTTTCTCCAGAATTCAATATTCTAATATTATGATCCTTTTATTTGAGTCTAAAGTTTTTTTTTTTTTAATAAATATGAAATCCACTGTTAATTATGTCACAATATAAGAATTTAATTATCATGCAAGATGAAAAAAATAAACTCCATAAAAAAAATTAAGAAATATCCGTATCCGTATGGAAACAATTAATAGACTTCAACGCAATTGCTGGCACCTTTTATTGCTTCTTCTCTCTGTATGTAATCATCCAATGTCATTTATCGAGTATGAGGAAGCGCTCTTTCAAGACAGACAAGACTTCAATGCTTTATTTTATTTTACCCTATCCCACTTTTATATTATTATTATTTAAGAATAGAAATGTACCCCAAAAAAAATATTTAAGAATAGAAACGGACACGGACGTGGCACATAAGGGTGAAATTCTGACAAATATGGTTACGCCTGAATTGCCAAATATTTAATCCCATTAGACTAACGACACAATTTCGTTTTTGGTATCATACTTGCTAGATATACGTGAATGATTAATTTGGGCCACCAATAATTCAAAAAGTTGTTATCAAGCACAAGTCATAAAGATTTTAATAAATGAAGTTATAAAGAATAGTACAAATGCCATTCAATTCAAATTGATAATAAGCATCAAATTATAAAGATGCTGCTGCCAACATTGAAGCCCTTTTTACTCATTATATGTTTGGAGCAGTGTTATAACTTAATAATTGTTGTGATTTTGGATTTAATTAAAGGGTTATACATATATAATGTTACAAGAAAAACATTATTTCGTCCCGCAAACATATAAAAAAAGAGAGAGAAAATAAGGTGAGAGAAGAAAAAAAAAAAAGGAACTGTGAACCTCACATTTTTTTGTTTCTCCAGGAAAACAAATTTTCTTCCGGTTATATAATAGATACATTTTCCTTAATTAAATTTGGAATTATTTAGTGACTTCTAATGTTAAATTTAGTAAAAAAATAAATAAATGCTATTGCATAATTATACGCGATGAACAGGAAAATAATTAAAACAACAAATATTCTTGTTAGTTCTCCTATCTCTCTACTCCTAGTGTAATGCAATGCTATTGAATCCTCCAACCAATGCAGATTATGTAAATACAATATATATTACGTAATTGATTCGTATTGTAATTTGCACACACATGTTTTGGACAACAGCTCTGATAGCACGTGTACCTGTGTAGTTTTAGCTTCGATTTCTTTACTTTTACAACTCATAAAACAATTATGCTTGAAATATGATGTACTTAAAGATGAATATTTGACTCTATTATTTATTGTAGAATTATTAAATTTCTTCTAGAAATAACTTAAATATGTTGAGATTATCATCTAGCAATTTTGATGATATCACTTTCAATAATTATTTTGAATGTTATTCGAGAAGATAAAGGCAGACAGAAGAATTAAAAACCAGTAATATATCATTTAATTAATTGATCTGTAATTATATTTATGATAAAATTCTTCTAGGGGAGGCCATCTGCAATGGTAGCAAGCGAATGTGCTCTTCCCTGTATAAAAAAAAAAAAAAAGCAAGCGAATGTCAATGAAGGGAAGAAGAAAGAGGTTGTGTTTGTTGGAATTTATATATAGAAATGGTATAGATAATCTATTGGTTATGAATAAGAAGTGGGTTAAAGAAGAAAAAAGAAAAAGGAAGTTAAAAGGGTGTATGGGTTTAAGAAGTCTCACATTGGACAACTAATAAGAGGTGAGAAAGTTTATAAGCTCCCACCTCACACTCTTAAATTGCCCCTTGAGGCAATACATATTTTGTGGAGGGGAGAGGAGCTAGGTTGGACTTAGGTCCACCACACACGCACACCGTCGTCTGGCATGTTCGGTAAATAAAAATTATTTTTTTAATTTTTTTGTCCAAAATGCCCATGTGACTATCCGTTGCTTTCTTCCAATTTTCAAAACCCAAACGTTTCGAACCGGTTCTTACCTTTCGCGAATCAATCATCAGTCGCGGCCGTCAGTCACATCATGTGATGAACGAGAGATGGCTTTGAATCATGCCATACATGCATAAATCGATGATGCAAAATCACGCTGTTGATGGTTGCTCTATTGAAAGCATCCTATTTCAGTCCCATTTTCATTCTTATGAAATGGGGGCTTCTCACAGTCACTCACTCTATGCATGTTCTGTGGCTATGTATTCCATTGCTTTATTTTCATTATTCTCAAACAGATATAGTCACTCGTTCTATATGCATATTATATTGCTATAGCGTTGCTTTATTTTTGTTCTTTTGTAACATAAGCTTCATGCAATCACTTTATATGGTTGCATTAAGGTTAGGAAAGATTTTTGATGAAAAAACTCTATGAGACTGAGTTGAATCCCCTCAATCTGCCAGATGAGGATTTATCTAATTTGGAAAAAAGTCATTCAAAATAAGCTTAATATGGTTCTTCACCAAGAGGAAACTTTATGGTTCCAGAAAGTTAGATGTAAATGAATTGAATATGGTGACCGGTAGGGGTGGCAATTTATGACACGACCCACCAACCCAACCCGGACCCGACACGAAATTTTCGTGTTCGGATCAACCCGTTTAATAAATGGGTCGTGTTCGGGTTGGAAAAATATAACACAAAAATATTCGTGTCGGGTCACGGGTCAACCCGCTCTGACCCGCAAATATATATATTTTAATTTTTTTAAGGTTATTATGGTAATTTTATTGAATGATATAAAACAAAAATATACACCCTAGGTTTCAAACTACCCTTTCACTCTCCTCAGCGGCGCCCTCTGTTTTGACTCCCTTTGTATCTGGATTTTCTTTCTTTCCCACTATCTTCACTCTTCTCAGGCTTGGATCTTCCTTTCCCACCTTCGTACCTGAATTTTATTTCTTTCCCACCTCGTTGACTCGTTCCCACCTTCGTATATTGCAATCTTCCTTTCCCATCTACTAAAGTTTCACTTGCATTTTTTAATTCTTTGCAACCTTTCAATAGTGGAGGTCATGCCAAATCATATGCTGCCATGAAGAACGCTGAGAAAGTCTCTAGAAGCTTTTTGTTTTTTTATTTTTCTTTTAGCATTTAGAATCTTGTAATTTTGATACTTTTACATAGTATGAAGAAAAAATTATTTTTTTTCGGTGTTTCAACTTTCAAATTATACTCGAACCTCTAGATTTTTTTTTGTTATATTACAATCAAATTTGATGCATTTTTTTTGGGCGATTTGTGTAATAAACGGATCACACTTATATTATAAGATTTTTCAGGTCGTATCGGGTCAACCCGCAGAAAAAATGGGTCGTGTTCGGGTTGAGTCTATTCGTGTTTGTGTCAGACACAGGTCGACCCGAACCCGACCCACGAACACGATTTGCCACCCTTAGTGACTGGAATACTAGATTTTATCACACTACTACAATTATCACAAAGGCAAGAAACAAAATCCTGGAATTAAAAAATGATGAAGGTCACTTTATGAGAGAGGAAGTTAACCTTCAAAACACGATCTACTCCTTCTATGTGAAACTGTTTACTGAAGAAAAGCCTTGCAGACCTTGGATTACCACTAAGAATAACTGGCCAGCTTTGGAGAAGAATGATTTGGATGATTTGAATAGGAACTTTTCAGATTATGAGATTAAGGATGTTTTTTTCTCTATGGGAGCTCTTAAAGACCCTGGTCCAGATGGATTTCCAGTTTTTTTTTCCAAAAAAATGGAATATAGTGAATAAGCAAATCTATTAGTATGTGAGGCATGTTTGGAACAACTCGACTGACATTAAAGATCTCAATAAAACATTCTTGGTTATGATTCCTAAGTTTCAGAAACCAAAAAAAATCAGCCAATTCAGACCCATTGCTCTTTGTTCTGTTTTCTACAAAGGACATCAGTAAAATTATTGTGAAAAAACTGAAACCTCTCCTGCAAAAACTCATATTTCCTTTTCAAGTCAGTTTTGTTCCTAACAGACAAATTCAGAACAACATTGTTATTGCCCAGGAGATGATTCATTCTATGAGCATGATGAGAGGGAAAAAGGTTTTTTTACTATCAGAATTGACTTAGAAAAGGCTTATGATCGCGTCTCTTGGAGTTTCATTCAAAAAGTTTTGACAGAAATAAATCTCCCTGAGCACCTTGTCAATCTTATTATGCAGTGCATTTCCTCCTTTGAGTTGGAAATTCTTTAGAATGGTGCCAGATCTGGTTCTATCTCCCCAAGCAGAGGACTTAGACAAAAGGACCCTATATCTCCCTACATCTTTGTCCTTTGATAGAGAAGTTGTCTCATATTATTGCAGATGTTGTTGAGAGGAAAGCATGGAGACATATGACAGCGGGTAAAAAGGGGCCTAGGATTTCCCATCTGCTTTTTGCTGATGACTTGATGCTCTTTGTTGAGACTAGTATAGACCAAATTGATACTGTTATGAACTGTCTAGCTCTCTTTGGTCATATTTTTGGTCAAAAGGTTAGTTTTCTGAAATCCAATAGTTTCCTTTCTAAAAATGTTACTAATGAGTTAGCTAATCTTATTGTTGAGAAAAGTGGCTTTGTTCAAACGAAAAATCTGGGACGTTATCTTGGCTACATGATTAAGCATAAGAGAGTAAGCAAGAACCATTATGGTGACATTATGGAGAGAGTTCACAATAGGCTGAATGGATGGAAAAAATAATGTTTATCTTTGGCTGGTAGAGTCATTTTGGCAAAATCTGTCATCCCAATGTTCCATATACAAAATAGTCTCCTTCCTCTAGCCATTTGTGAAGACATTGAGAAGATCCAAAGAATTTTTATTTGGGGTGACTCGGTTTCTCATAGAAGACATCATCTGTTAGCTTGGGACTAACTTCAATTGCCAAAGAACATTGGTGGGCTTGGTATCATAAATCTTAAAAGGCAAAATGAAGCTTTCCTCCACAAATGTGCTTGGTCTCTCATTCAAGCTCCCTCTCAGTTATGGG